CAAATAAATCTCTCCGACATTGTCTTCATAAAAAGTGATCCACTTGTCTTAAGCTCACTAAATTTTTGACCACCGAAACATTACAATAATGTCCAAATTTCTGAGGTGTCTTGCGCAAGCCATGCTAGCTATCACCTGCACTGCACTGGCTTTGGCGTTTCATTTTGTAACGAAGCAGCAGCCTATGCGACTGATGCAGATGTCACAGTCGAAAGCGACCGTTACGAGTTGCACGGTTGCGTGCAGCACACGCTGACACCATAAACAATGCCGTTGAAATTGATGTTGCATGTAAAGGGCCAATAACAGATCGGCAAAATGACACAGATAGTGATGCTATACCTGAGGTCACTGCCGGCCACAAGTAATTTGGCTTAACCCCGGTATGCGACCAGGGGTTCTCCAGTGGGTCAAGGCTGTGGGGATGACAATATCTTGTTAATTGTTTCACAACGCCTCCTTCCGCCTCAAAGGAGGCGGACCCTATGGATGCAACATCATATGGAATTGTCAAAAGGGTGTTTTCTCCAGTGCTATTGCTGTGGTACTGACAGCTGCAGCATGAACCAGGAAAGTGTCTGGGAACCCAAAAGACAAGACAGTTTGTACGAAACTAACAGACGATATAAACGTTATGCACTTTAAAGTGGTTCAAAACGTGTTAGGTGGTGGCTTAAAAGCTCAGTTTGGTATCTGCGAATCTATCAACACAGAGCATTTCAAGGACACGCCCTTTTAAGTCGCCATCTTGAAAGGGAGGCATGTCAGGGAGCTAATACTATATCTGCATTTATACTGACCTTGCGGTTTTGAAAACGATACAAGGGCAGCATTACTGGTGTGTATATGGCGTCTGTATGTAGCATGCGTGCGTGTGAGAGTGCGGTGCGTGTACGTGGCTAAGTAAGAATACCACAACCATCGTGTTGTAGTTTTAGAGCGGAAATCCCTTGCCGTGCCACAACCGACCCTTCAGTCGTTTGATATCCATGGGAGAGATCTCCCTCAATATAAAGACCGTGATAAAACTCGATGTGGGGGAAGCGGCGTATTAAGTTATCGAGGACAGAATGTGTTTGGACGATGAGTTGGCGACGAGACCATACTTTTACGATTTCCTGACCAAAGGTCCTTGATAGATATGATCTAGGACTGATGCAGTAACGACAATAGTGATGTCACTTATCTTCCGCTTGCAGCTGGTTGAAGCTACGACAATCTGT